CTCCTGACTGCGCTGGGACTCTTCTTCATCTGCCTCCTCCAGACATTGCTGGAGCCACTCTTCTCTTCTGCTGCCACCTACCCGCTCCAAGACGTGCCGGGCGAGAGTCTTCATGGTTGGGCACAGCCAACGAACTCCGGTGGTATTATAGCTGATTGAGCTCATTTGGCTGTTGCCAACCAACTTCAATTAACATAGGGTGAGTCTCCTTTATAGAACGGTACCCCAGAGGTTCTCGAATTTTCCAGGTCACATGACCCTTTCAAATTCTCGCCCAAACGAGAACCTAAACAGCTCAATTTAAATGAATGTAAATTATGACTAAAGGTAAGGGGGGCTGGGGCAGCCGCATACCCATGTAGTGTGCCCACTTAAACAATTGTCAATAAATGATATACTGTGTATGATTTTTTTTCATATATATATATATATATATATATATATATATATATATATATATATATATATATATATATATATATATACATACACATACACACACACACACACGCACACACAAACTAGCAACCAATAAAAGATCTGTTAACTCTTTGCAAGCAGCAGTTCTAAAGTAGAAATAATAGGAAAATACTTATTTTTTTCCCCCCGCGTTGAATACTGCAAGGTAGGGTTATGACCTGTGTGTTTTTTGCCATGTGCTCCCTTGGGGAAATTTCCCTTCACTTCCTGTCCCATAGCCAAAAGGCAAAATGAAAAGAATCTCCCCAAAGTGGGGGAAATTTTGGTTGACTCCAGAACTACTGTCCTCATTGGAAGATTCCCTTTCTTCCTCAGATGTATTCACCCAGTTCTCCTGAATACAAGAGTACTACATTTTTGCATTTTAGTATTCCTAGGACATCCCTCCTTTCAATCACCAACTCCAGCAATGGTATGCACATCAAACCCTAACAGAATAACTTAGCCAATATATGTTCAGTAAACTAAAATCTGATTGATTGTTATGGGTTACCACATTTTGCCCTCTACACGGTTTGTTGAAAGCATGTTAATTTGTTTGCACTTTCACCCTCTTCCTGCCCAGGACAATTGTGCAGTCATGCAACACTGTATCCATATGGAATTTTTACCTTTTTTTTTTTTTTATTAAGACAGCTTTCTTTTGGTGGTATTTAACCACTTGCCTACAGGGCACTTATACCCCCTTCCTGGCCAGGCCAATTTTCAGCTTTCAGCACTGTCACACTTTGAATGACAATTGCACGGTCATGCAACACTGTACCCATATGAATTTACCTTTTTTTTTTTTTAGACGGATAACACTTTCTTTTGGTGGTATTTAATCACCTCTGGTTTTTTTTTTTTTGCTAAACAAACCAAAAACCACTGAAAATTAAAAAAAAAAAAAAAAAAAAAAAAAAGGTTTTTTTAGTTTGTTATAAAATTTTGTAAATAAGCGATTTTTCTCCTTCACAGATGTGCACCAATGAGGCTGCAGTGATGGGCATTGACAGGCATCACTGATGGGCACTAAAAGGCAGCAGTCATATATGGCATTGATAGGCGGCACTGACGAGAACTGATGCGCACTGATTGGCAGCACTGATAGGAGGCACTGATTGGCAGCTCAGATGGGCACTGATATGTGGCATTGATGTGCACTGGCAGATGGCATGGATGAGCACTGACAGCTGGCACTGCTGGGGCTACACTGATCATTAGTGCACGTCTCCTCTGAGGGGTGCCGATTACCACCTCTCCACTCCTCACGAGCTGTCAGCATGACAGCTCATGAGGAGAGAATTGCCGATAACCGGCATTTCCCTATTTACATGCGATCAGCTGTGATCCTCTATCCAGCGGCGTGCTGTCTTCCCGGCTTCTGTAGTGTGGGCACTGGGCATGACAGCCGGGTGCCAAGTGCGCATGCGCAAGAAGCGGTACTTTTTGTGAATGGTAAGGCGGTACCTGGGACACATGACAGATCCCAGAAGCCGCCGGACCAATCACAAAGCGCAAGTGCTTCTCGCTCATGCGCACTGGGCACCCGGCTGTCATGCCGAGCGCCATTACAGAAGCCGGGAAGACAGCGCGCGGCTGGATCGAGGAACAGGTAAGATCAAAGAACAACTGCGGAAGTAAGAGCGGGTACCTGTCAAATTCAGGTACCCGCTCCCCACCTCCCCAAAGGTCAGCAGTCATCTGTACTGTCCGCAGTCTCTGGTCATCCCTGTGCTGTCCGCAGTCTCTGGTCATCCCTGTGCTGTCCGCAGTCTCTGGTCATCCCTGTGCTGTGTCTGCAGTCCATTAGTTCAGAATTTTTTTTTTCCTGTTTTCTGCCTCTAAAACCTAGGTGCGTCTTATGGTCAGGTGCGTCTTATACGGCGAAAAATACGGTAACTAATTTTCTCATATTTTTTTACATCACAGAAACCTGACATTTTAAACAGGGGTGTGTAGACTTTTTATATCCATTGTATATGGCCAAGCATGCAACTACTGCAGCAGAACTCAATATCCATCTTGGAAAGTCCACAGAACTTTACAAAGCCACCATCCATGAATAGCTTAAATAAAATGCTAAAAATCTACTTCGGCCACTATTATTCGCTAATGAAGTCTTGGCAAATGCACATGTAGTCATACACACGGAGACTGTTCCTCTTGGAACACCAAACAATTTGGCTGCAGTGGTTTACAAATGTGCCAACTAAATGTACACTAATACAATTTGCTCTCTTTGGAACTCTAACAAGTCATTCATTTCCCTGACCACTCATACTAACCACTGCTATAAGGCCCCTTTCACACTGATGGTCTGATTGGGTCCATCTGTCAGTTTTTCAGGCGGACCCGATCAGACCATCCAACCGCCCCATAAAAAAAAAAAAACAAACAAAAAAAAACAAAAACAGCGGGCTGTGTCTGTGTCCATTTTGCAGCAGCGGAGCGGTCAGACCTGTCATTCTCTTGGTCATCAGGGATTGAATTAAATTAATCTATACCAGTGGTCTCCAAACTGCAACCCTGGGGCCAGATGTGGCCCTGTGTTTGCCTCTATCCGGCCCTTGGGGCACTATTCCATCCAAAACTTCCACTAATGATCAGGTACCATTCCTCGCACTGACACCAATGATGGAGTGCTCCTCCCACTGGCACTAATGATGGGGTGCTAATCTCCCCCCCCCCCCCCGCTGTTAATGGGGCACTTCTATTACCACTCTTAAAATGTAAGTATTTGATATACACATTAATGTATCTTACCTCAAAGTTAGAAATATTCCACATCAATAACTGAGGCGTGACTATTCTGAGCTTACATTTAATATACAGAAAATATACCAGCAAATTAGCGGACAATGGGTAATTATCATAACACAAAAAGAAGCTAGTACCAGAAAACAGAAAAAAAATATTTCACATCTGCTTCATTACAGATTTGCCTGCAAAATACTGTAAATAAACTGAGGTCTTATTTTCACACAAAGCACCTTCTTGTACTAGGTAGAAAAATAGTGCCATTTTATAATTTCCTGAACACACACCATAGTTGGGGACTTTAGATTTTTCAGGCTTTTTCTTTTACAGTTTGCTATTCCAGTCTTAATATGTAAAACTAACATGTGTGATCCATACAAAATGAGATCTGTCACACTTGACAGCAATATACAGCAACTACTACAACTTTCTCACCTACAGTGATGGCATTTTCCTATTTTCCAAGGCAGCGAGGTTTCCCTGTATTGCAATAAGTAACAGCTGCATATTGAATTTTCTGCCAGTTGTGTTACCTGTGGTAGTATCTCTTCTGTCCCTTAGTGACATTGTTAATAGCAAATTTTGAAGACCACTGGACATTTTCAATTATACTCAGTGAGCCAATTGGTATTCCGCAAATAAAGTGAAACAACAAAAGATGTGTTTGTTAAGAATAAGTCTTTAATGTAATACAAAATACAAATATTTTGTGTGCTCAAGTACATGTACATCTTTGGTTAGCAAAACAGAAAATTTGATCTTGAACCCATAACAAGGACCTGCATAACATAAAAAAAAGAAAAAAAAAAGAAAAAAAATGATGAAAGAATTTTAACAGGAAAGAAATAATTCTAACAGAACATCTTCCAATCTAATAGCAGCTGGAAAAGTTTATGATGACTCACATGTCACTACCATACTGTCCTGTATAGTTAATGTGTACTTTAAACCATTTAATTTTTTTTTTTTTTGTACAATCACACATCGGGTAATTATAGAAAATATTATGCCGATAAGATCATGCAAAAAAAAAAAAAAAAAAAAAAAAAAAAAAAAAAAAGGACAATTTTAAAATTATGCAACACACCAATAACAATGACTTTAAAGCATTAATAAACATGTATTTGGATCAAAATTTACAGTAAACTACAAAACTTTTCAGCTATCCATTACATATGAGATATTAAAATAGTTAAAAAATATGTTAACGTAAACAGTAGTTCAAAGAAATACAAGTAGCTGCAATACATACAGTATTAATGCTTTCTTATTTTATTGGGGTGCCAAAGTTTTGCTTAAGATATAAGTAGCAGAGTTTCACTAGAAATTGTCAACTCAAACATTTTCCTGACATACTAAAACATGAAAAAAAAAAAAAAAAATTAATATTATTCTGCCAATTCTTTTATTCAGAATTGCTCTATACATGGGGCAACAACAATAGCCTTTCTTTGTTAAATCTAATGTTAAGTATGCAGATTCACCTCATTAGTTAAATGGCATCTCTACCTACACTCATGTTGTGTATCTACGCAAAAAAAAAAAAAAAAAAAAAAAAAAAAAAGGCGTTTCCTCTGCTTTGTAACACAGTTGCATTAATTTCATTAATTTCCTACTAATTAATTTAAGGTGTCTGCAGTTAAGTGGATTGACTATTCTGTTAACTTTAGAAGACCACTGTACTGAATTCAAGTTAAAAAAGTGTATGGAAAAAAACAAAAATGTATTGTTTTCACAGATCCTTTCCTATGTGTCAGAAACATTTGAGTACAAACCTTTGTTCACTGCTCTTTGGACCTTGGATTTCTTCTTCTGTTTGAATAAGGAGGATCATCTAAAAAGGAGGAACAAAAATAATTATCAAACCCAGTCAAAATATTTGTACATATGTGTATACTTTTTTAACATTAAAGTGATACTAAAAAGTCTTTTTTTTTTTATTTTGTAAAAACAAAAAAAATAAAAAAACAAAACATGTTATACTTACATGCGGTGTGTAATGGTCTTGCACATAGCCGCCCAGATCCTCCTCTTCTTGGGTCCCTCCTGTCGGGTGCCCACACAGCAAGCTGCTTGCCATGGGGGCACCCAAGCAGGCGTGCTCCTGAGCCATGGCTCTGCGTGTCCATTCACACACACACAGAGCAGCTTCTCAGCCCCACCCCCTCCTTATCCTGATTGGCTCACTGGCTGTGATTGACAGCTACTCAGGATTGAGTCCCTGGAGAACGGAGGCTCTTGTGGACATCGCTGGATCAGGATGGGGATCAGGCAAGTGTTTGGAGGGGGGAGCGGGCTGTCACACACAGGAGGTTTTTTACCTTCATGCATAGAACGCATAAAAGGATAAAAACCTTGAGCCTTTAGAACCACTTTTATAATTGTATAAAGAGAACTTCTAACTCATTCTGAACCAGTCATCTCCAAACTGTGGCCCATTTGCTTGCTTTTATCTGGCCCTTGGGGCATTATTCCCCCCACTGTCAGCAAGAGTGTGGCATAGTTCCTCCCACTGACACTAAATGATGGGGCACCATTCCTCCCACTGATCCCAATGATGGGGCACCATTCCTTCCACTGATCCCAATGATGGGGCACCATTCCTTCCACTGATCCCAATGATGGGGCACTATTCCTTCCACTGATCCCAATGATGGGGCACCATTCCTTCCACTGATCCCAATGATGGGGCACCATTCCTTCCACTTCCAATGATGGGGCACCATTCCTTCCACTGATCCCAATGATGGGGCACCATTCCTTCCACTGATCCCAATGATGGGGCACCATTCCTTCCACTGATCCCAATGATGGGGCACCATTCCTTCCACTGATCCCAATGATGGGGCACCATTCCTTCCACTGATCCCAATGATGGGGCACTATTCCTTCCACTGATCCCAATGATGGGGCACCATTTCCCCCACTAACACTAATAATGAAGCAGTATTCCTCCCATTGATACCAATGATAGGACACTATTCTTCCCATTAATACCAACGATGGGGCACTGACTCCCATTGATACCAATAATGAGGCACTAATTATTCCACTGATACCAATCATGGGTCACTATTCCTCTCAGTGATAAAAATGATGGGGCACTATTCTTCCCACTGACACAAATGATGGGGCACTATTCCTCTCATCAATACAAAATGGAGCACTATGACACCCGTTGACACCAATGATGGGACACGATTACTCCCCCTAATGCTAATGATGGGTCACTATTCCTCCCATTGATACCAATGATGTAGCACTATAACTCCTCCTAATACCAATGATGGGGCACTGCTTACTCCCACTTATGCCAGGACATTTTCTTCTCCCACTGAGACCCAGAACCTCTCAAGAAGAATCTCAGAGGGAAGTTTATTTGATCACAAGGTCTGAGCATGAGATATTAGAAAGATTAGTTTGTTTTATTAAGGAAAGACTTTTGCTTAAGCCAAAGTACTCCAGGCGAAGAAAAGGTTGGAGAGAAGCTATTTTGAAGTTGACTACCCACCCCCCAAAATCCTGAAGTATCTGATTATTGTTGTGGACACTTGCAGATAACTGGAAGGGAGAGGGGTCCTTCAGAAGAAGGTTGTCTAGGTACCCTGTGACCTGAATGCCCCGAAAAAGGGCAAGAAGAAGTTGAAGTACTTTTGTGAATACTCAGGGAGCAGAGGAAAGGCCAAATGGCAGTGCAACAAACTATAAGTACCCAATTGAAACCATTGACTCGGTTAGAGAAGGAGGGGGGGTAGAGAAAGAACCTGGCACTTTGAGTTCTGGACAGTGATGGCTGTAATAAAGCCAGAATTTGTCATAGGTGCAGAAAAATCTACTTTAGTCGGGTAGGCTGCTTGTTGCAAGCCTGAGATAGAACAAGAATTGGTGGTAGAGACCAGGGTGGATAAAAATCAATGATTTAAAAAAAAAAAAAAAAAAAAAATCTAAAAAATCTAATTTTTTTTGATTTAAAATCTTTTATTTAAATCGGATTTTTTTTATTTAAAATCGGATTTTAAATCGGATTTAAAATCGGATTTTTTTAAAATGATTTTTTTGAATAAAATGCTTTTTGAGGAAAATATATTACCATCCAAAGGTTATTCCATCATGAAATAAAGATTAGTTTTTTAATTATGTAGAATAAGGCTGTATATGTTTAATTTTTTTGGTAAATAAATTCCATTAATCCATTCACAATGTCATGCTCTTCCAGAGGTTTCTGTAAGATTATTGGACAGTTTCTCTGCCTACAAGATATTATCACAGATGCTTGGTTTACTTTTGCAGTTCTCAAAACTGAATTTGACTCAGCGGAGATCACATGCCTCTTCTTCACAGCAAAAATGTTATAACATGAACAGAGTTAAGAAAAAGACCTTAATCCTAACTTCTACAAACCTATGAATACAGAATCAACCCCTTCAGTGCTAAGTTTCAAGAAGTTCAGTGAATAGAATAAAAACAATATTTTTCTGATTGTTTGGAGTGGAATAGATCTGCACAAGAAGAAAGTGAAACTAAGTGTGAGGAGGAAGGGGCTGACAGTCTAAGGTTCTTAAAAATATATATATTTTGTTTAGCCAAATTAGTTAACAAACATGGATGTTTGTTTAAGTAAATAACATATGCTGGAATGTTATTGTTTCAGATGAATAAATCTATTTTAAATTGTGATTATTTTTCTCCTTCCCAAGTACAACAGAAAAGTTGTCCAAATATGAATGATTATCCTATTAAACTGGGGATAAAAAAACTAATATGAAAAGTTGTTATTCTAAAAATCTTCATCTACTTGCATATTAAAGTTATACCAGCAATAATTAGTCTTTATATAGAAAACTAGGATTTAAATCAAGCCTTACTGACTAGTGATTTAAATCGTGATTTAAATCAGTTTGATTTAAATCAAATCCACCCTGGTAGAGACCAGTGTTAAAATAGAGTCCCGTGCTGATGCAAGGAAAGCAATGTCACTCAAAGCAGTTTGAATGTTCTTCAGGCCCTTTGGCAGAGTGAATGTTCTCTGAATGTTTGTCATGGTTCCTGCCACTTCTATTGGTGAGGTTATTCTTCTATGGGGTACTTGCATAGTAAAGTGCAGAAATAGAGTGGCAAATGGGTGTGAAGAAGTGTCCTGAGTACCTTATAAGGGGCTCAAGATGGAAGTGGTGGTAAAGTGTGCGACCTATGATTTGATGTTACACCTGGTCACCCACCTGAAACTAAGCTCTGATTGGTTGAAATTCAGCAATGGGTTATATTGTGTAAATTAATACGTTTCAAACACATTCATGGTTTCCTGATAGTTTCTATTTATAAATGAATATTATGCAGGAAACAAATTAGTGGAAATGAAGTTATGAGATTTTGTGTGTCCTTTTTGCTGTGGGACAACAACAAAAACAGGGTGACCCTGTCTTACCCATCCATGTCGTTGTTCACTGTACAGGGTACAGGTTTCGCCCATGACAGCTGGCATAAACCTGAAGGGGTCTTCGGGTCTGGGCTGCATAGGAGATGGATAATGGCCAAGTGCCAAGGTGAGCACCCATACAGGCTCCAATGCCTAAAGCAACATTAACTACTTCCCGCCCGGCCGTCATTTTACTCGTCCCTCTGGTAGGGCATCATATGACATCCTTCCCGGATCGTGCTTTGCTATAAGCAAATTGTGTAAAAAAAAAAAAAAACAAAAATTCTGATCATTTCCCCAAAGTAGTATAATGTATTTATGGTAACATTAACTACTTTGGTCAGTGTAATATGAAAATAAAATCTTAAAAAGAAAAAAAGATGTAATTAAAAAATTTTTTTAGAATTAAAGAATTAAAAAAAAATCGTGAAAATCATTTTTCTAATGTCTTCATTTTCTAAAAAAATTAGAACTTCAAAAAACTTGCCATGCTTCTTATGAAATACGTTGGACTGTCTACTTTGCAAAAAGGGGTCATTTGGGGGATATCTGTACTGTTCTGACATTTTTGGGCCTCAAGAAATGAGATTGGCTGTCAGTACTTCAGGATTGATCAATTTCCAGATATATCCCATAGTTTTTGAACTCTTTAACTTTCCTACAGAGTAAATAATAAACACTGATTTGGGTTATTTACAGCAAAGACATGTAGCAGAATACATTTTGGCCTAAATTTCTGAAGAACAATTATTTATTTGCAAACTTTTATAACAGAAACAAAGAAACATGGGTTTTTTTTTTCAAAATTTTCGGTCTTTTTTTGTTAATTTAGCAAAAAAATAAAAACCCCAGTGGTGATTAAATAACACCAAAGAAAGCTCTAGCTGTGTGAAGAAAATTATAAAATTTTAGTTTGGGTACAGTGTTGCATGACTGCGCAATTGTCATTCAAAGTGAGAGAATGTTGAAACCTGAAAATTGGCCTGGGCAGGAAGGGGGTAAGTGTCCAGTATTGAAGTGGTTAAAGGCCGTCCCTATGGTGTGAGGTCTGGCTATGGCTCCAAAGACAGTGAACAATTGCTTAAGGTATCTCAAGTAAAATAATAAACTAGCTGAGGGAAGAGTAATTTATCCATTAGGGAGAAGAGGTTCATCACCTTAAATGCAAACTTCACCTTTATCAACAGGTTACATCTGTATTCAGGGTGTAACATGTTGCTGAGAAACATTTTCCTCCAACAAAGTGCTAGGGTTCTTCTCACCTGCAGCCACGATTCACAAAGATCTGAGACTGAAACTACAAATTACACCTGCTGCCACAGCAGACAGACTTGTAGCCGTCAATGGAACATGATTGTTATAATCAGCATACTTGTAGCCCACAGACAATTCCACCAGCTCTGTAAATGAAAGCCCATAGAGAGGTACAGGTAGATAGCTGGAGGAGCTTGGCTTTGCACCTGCAATCCACTGATTGTGAGTGCATTGCTTTGCAGGCTCCTCTGGAAAAAAAAAAAAAAATTAATACACATTTTTTTTCTTTGCAAAAATATGTGCATTTATTTATTTCTTAAAGACGGACTTAGCCTTTAAAATATTAAAAAAAAAAACAACTGAGGACTAAGAGTGGGGTAGGGTTATGTCTTCACACTTATACCAGTGTCCAATCACTGGTATCAGCCTATAACCCAGGGTCTATGGATATCAAGCCTGTGTCATGTACTGTATTATAAAGATATGAACTTATAATACATTGCAGCTGGTTATTCATTAGATGAGGTGCCTGCATTGGTTTTCATATTTTTCTAGCTTTTTTTTCCTTTATTTAAACCTAATGATACTACTTATAACATATGTCTTGTCTGCTCACACATCTGGGAAAGCAGTTTTTACCAACCAGACAGTGCATAAAACATATCTACCTAAAATGTTTTAGCCCCCCCCCCCCCCCAAAAAAAACAAAAAAAAAAAACTCCCCCCCCCCCCCAAAAAAAAAAAAAAAAAAAAAAAAACCAGCACTGGATAGGGATAAAGTCCATAACTAGAGTACACAGAACTTGTGCATTGAAAGTGGATAATCTTTAAGAATACTTATGTCCCCGTGTTTCATTCCTTTTTCCATGAAAAAAAAAAAAAAAAAAAAAAAAAATCAGGATTTTTCTGATTTTTTTTTCTTTTGCTTTCTGAGTTCTGTTGGGGATGATTTGCGTCACTTCCTGTCCTTGGGACACACTGGAAAGTGAGAGTACAAAATCACCAAAGTGAAATGAATTGCCCACTTAGATAGGTTTCCTTTTTAAGATTTGCCTTCACCTCTTGTTTTAGTGACAACTGTTAAAGTTTGAATTACCCATCAATTCTTGTCTTTGTGACAATGGTCACCAGGACAAATAAGAGTAAATCCACACAGCAGGTGCAGAGACAGCAATAAAAAAACATGAGAGATGCCAATCCTCCAACTATAAAAAACACTATACATCCATTTTAACTGTATGGAAACATTTACATACACATTTGCCAATAGTATTATTCTGATATTAAGGTAAATTGCAGGTTAGGTTCACTGGTTGTTTAATCACCTTCCATTTCCGAATCACTGTCCTCGACATAAGGCAGGTTGATCAGAGTCTGCTTTTTGTCTCTCAGAACCACCAGCTGAAGCTTTCCACGCGATTTCTCGATCAAAGCCTGGGCTTCAGTTAAAGACATGTTCTCAGTCAAAATACCATTGATCTAAAAACATAAGAAACAATAAACAGACTTCTAGACTGTAAACAGAAATAAAAAGGCCATGTCACATAATTTGACTCTTAATGCCATCTCACATCATTCCTGTGTGATTCACATGCAGTTTCTAGTGTGAATGGGCCCTAATGCTTGGGAGGCGGCACCGCTTCAACATGTTACCGTTGTCCAGTAAGCACACTCTCTGCACACAACCTCAGACCACCATGAATGCATACGTGCAGCAGCTGGGTGTTAAAGTACACTGTTCATGCTGATGCTTATGTGTTATTCGGTCAGCAAGAGGTTAAAATATGTAATTCTACTTTAAATGTATAAATATAATTTCTTAATAATTACAGATTCTCTTCACAAGTATGGTACTTGTGGGGAAGCCACTCAATCGCTTTCATCAGAAAGCCAACAGTCAGCTTTTGAAGTGTGTGTGTGTGTGTGTGTGTGTGTGTAAAAAACACCGCTGCCACAGTCACGTTGGTGGCAGTTAAAGGGTACCAATTTTGTGTAAAACAGTGTATGTCGACATATACACAGTTCAGCCACTACAAGTACAAAACTAATTCAAATTTGGGTAAATGCCAACACATTAAATCTCCTATTTGTTACCGATATGATCTGTGAACTCCTGCAGACAGTTCACCCTTCCAAAATTCTTAGTTTCTTTTTCCCATGACCCAAAGCCTTACTCCTCCTGCTGAATTTTTGTAATGTAAAATATATGAAGAACTCATAAGGGTGTATGGAGTCTCCTTAAAATGGCAACAGGGTGGGAGGATAAGGAAATGTAAACACAGAGATTTTCCAAAGGCCACAAGTGATATAAGATCCAAGATGTCAACTGAACCAATCAATATTTATCCAGAAGTGCAAGAAAAGGCTACCCTGTCAGACAGGAAGCAGCATTTTCAGAAGTCTGCTTTGACAGGCTGCATGTTTCACAGCAGTTTGCCTTTATGACCACAGGCCCACAAAAAGCTTGTAGAGTGAAAATGGTACATGTTAAAGTTAAACTCTAAGCAAAAAGCTACAAAAGAAATTCTAATGTGAACTATTTTATCTGTCAAAGGATTTGGAATTATGTTTATAGAGTTCTGCGACCCAAACACCATTGCAAGACAGCATAGCTAAGTGTTGGGCCAATCTGCAGACTACAATACATTTAATCTATTTGACCTGATTCAGGACCTGCCCTAATATTTGAGTACATAGTGAATGATAGCAGAACATCAAGGCCACGCCTCCTGTAAGCATGTTGGCAGTATTAGGCTGACAGCACTGTGCGTGCAATATAGACAGAGCTATGGTTAATTCACAGTACGGATGCATCCTCCCCAAGTGCTGTTGTGTGAGGAAATACAGGAAAATATCAAGACAGATTCAAACTAGTTGTAAAAGAGAAAAGTATGAACACATAACTGGAATACATTGTGTTGTACAGTACAGGTGAATCTCAAATTAGAATATCATCAAAAAGTGAATTTTTCAGTAATTCAAAAAGTGAAACTCATATTTCATAGATTATACATACAGTGATATATTTCAAGCATTTAGCTCTTTTAATTTTTATGATTATGGCTACAGCTAGTGAAAACCCAAAATTGAGTATCTCATAAAAATGTTATATTGTGATAAAGTTCAATACTGTAGACTCGTGGTGTTACACTCTAATCAGCTAATTAACTCAAATCACCTGTAAAGGTTTCCTGAGCCTTTAAATTCTCTCAGTCTGGTTCAGTAGGTTACACAATCATGGGGAAGACTGCTGACTTACAGTTGTCCAGAAGACAGTCATTGACATCCTCCACAAGGAGGGTGTCACAAAAGGTCATTGCTAAAGAAGCTGGCTGTTCACAGAGTGCTCTATCCACGCATGGAAATAGAAAGTTGAGTGGAAGGAAAAAAAAAAGTGTGGTAGAAAAAGGTGCACAAGCAACAGTGGTCTAAAGTGTTCTTTTCGGATTAAAGTAAATTTTGCATTTCATTTGGAAATAAAGGTCCCAGAGTCTGGAGGAAGAGTGGAGAGGCACAGAATACAAGTTACATGAGGTGCAGTGTGAAGTTTCCAAGTCAGTGATGACTTGGGGAGCCAGGTCATCTGCTGGTGTTGGGTCCACATTTTTTTTTTTTTAACTTTTTAATACATACAAACATTAAAAACATTCCATCTTCCAAAATATGATTTTTTTCTTTTGTCCCCTAAATGAATACATTCTATAACCCCTTCATCTCCCACCCCCACCCATCCCCCCATCATTGTCTTATCTTTCTCTATCTGTATCCATTTCTCCATAACTTGTTATGCCGACCAATCTCATCGTGATTTCTTAGGCTATCCCCTTTACTTTAATTAGTTCTGTATAAGAATCTGCAGTTTTAAAATGTAACCAAACACTCCATATTCTTTTAAATATTCCAATCTTATAATCTTCTAAACTTCTCAGTTCTTTCATTCTGAAAATGCCTTCCACTCCATCTATCCAATCCACCACCCTCGGAACCTCTGCCACTAACCAAAATTTTGATATCAAACCCTTTGCTGCACTGATTAAATGGTACAATACTTTATTCCTATTTACTTCTGCCATGGGCTCAGAATAGTAGAATAAGCATTTCAGTGGGTCCCCTTGAATATCCACCCCACATATTTCCTTGATATAATACGCCATTTCCCTCCAATTAACCTGTATCCTCAGGCAACTCCACCAGATGTGCTCCATATTGCCCTTTTCTCCACATCCTCTCCAGCACCATGGGGAGCTTTCCCCTTGCTGCTTATGGGTTATACTGGGTGTTAAATACCATCTCGCCAAGCATTTGTAGTTCATCTCTACTGTGCACATGTTTATTGCCTTGTGTGTTAGGTTAAAAATACCTTCCCTTTGCTGAGGGTTGATTTTTATTCCTAGTTCCCTTTCCCATTTACTTAAATATCCAGGGGGCTCTACATCATCTAAGTCCACAAGGATTTTATATATACTAGAGGTGATGTGTTTTGGGCTTAATTCAGCATTCATTAGTTTTTCAAAACGGTTCATTTCTCCTACATCCCTAAATGGTTGTGGTAAATTTGCAACAAAATGAGACAACTGGTTATACTTTCATTCATCTATTCTAACAAACAAATCCTTATTCTTTTTTAAATTCTGAACCATGCATAATCTCCCCCCTTTTATAATATCTGTCAAGCGTGCGTTTTTATCCTTTATCCATCTTTCACTTATTTTAACATTTCCTGGTGCAAAAAAAAAACAAAAACAAAAAAAACAAAAACTGTTCCCACTAGTGGTATCAATAGTGAATTAAATTCCCATTTTTCCTTATTGTGTAATCTGTCCCATGTATCCAACACTATCCTAGTCAATTCGATAAAATGATTTGGATACCTCACGGGTTTCGTACATTAGATGTAGAAATGGGTCCACTGTGTTTCATCAAGTCCAAGTCAACACAGCCCTCTACCAGGACATTCTAGAGCATTTCATGCTTCCCTCTGCTTTATGGAGATGCCGATTTCATTTTCCAGCAAGCCTTGGCACCTGCTCACACTGCCAAAATGACCAATACCTAGTTTAATGATCATGGTAACACTGTGCTTGACTGGCCAGAAAACTCACCTGACCTAAACCCCATAGAGAATCTGTGGGGTATTGTCAAGAGGAAGATGAGAGACACCAGACCCAACAATGCAGATGAAGTGAAGGCCGCTATCAAAAGCAACCTGGGCTTCCATAACACCTCAGCAGTGCCACAGGCTGATCACCTCCATGCCATATTGATGCAGTCATTCATGCAAAAGGAGCTCCGACCAGCTACTGAGTGCATACTATACTGTACATACTTTTCAGTAAGCCAACATTTCTGTATTAAAAATCTTTTTTTTTTATTGGTCTAATATAATATTTTAATTTTCTGAGTTACAGAATTTTGGGTTTTCACTAGCTGTAAGCCATAGTCATCAAAATTTAAAAAAACGAAATGTTTGAAATATATATCACTCTGTGTGTAAAGAATCTATATAATATACGAGTTTCACTTTTTGAATCGAATTACTGAAATAAATTAACTTTTTGATGATATTCTAATTTATTGAGATGCACCTGTACAACTGTCTGAGGTTTAAATGTATCCTTCCTAAAATGGCACCTTTACTTGTAGTCAATTTTTCCAACAAGCTTTTACATTAGGGACAGGCTTTTAGGATTCTCCTTCTCATTTACAATTTCATGTTCATTTCATCCAGCTAGTACTTGATTTTTTTTATACGAAATACATATTTAAATAGTTTAGTTTATTTTAAATAAATCATTTAAACGAATAGGACTTGTGTTTAATCAACAAGTTTATAGTGACAAAACAGCACATGCAGATATTAAAAATTACATAAGAAAACCAGATGTATTAACTACCTTGAGAACAATATCCCCTTCATGCAAATTCCCATCTTTTGCTGCCAAACCAGTGCTCGTCAATCCCTTAATGTAAATTTGACTTCCAAGCCGAAGCCCATATTCTGGAATACAAATGAAATACATAATGGCACTTTTTGCTGACAAAGAAAATTTGATAACAAAAATAAAAATACTTGCCTTCATTAGGCTTTTTCTTTGTTAAAAGGACACTTGTCGATGTGTCTGAAGGAGATGGGCTATGAGACTGAAGTCTATCTCGACTTTTCTGCATTTCTTTATCATATCTGCGGTCAGGAGAAGCCCTTCTGCCATAACCTTTGTCTGGGCTGTACTGTGCATTTCTATCATAGTGGTCATCTCTATCCAAGGTCCTTCCACGACTGTTATCCCTTCCATAGCTTCGTGGGTCATCCAAGTCTCGGTCAAGACTCCTGCCTCGACTTCTTTCCCTTCTGTACCCACGGTCCTCATCCAGACCACGGTCTATACTTCTGCCACGGCTGTGGTCTCTTCGATAATTCTGTTCATCATCAAGGCCTCGCTCCATACTTCTGCCACGACTATATTCTTGTCGAGGTCCATAATCAACATTAAGATCTTGGTCGACACTTTTTGCACGGGCTCCATATCCTCGTTGATCTTTTTCATAATAAGGGCCCCTTTCCTGGTCTCTTCTATAGCCTGGGTTTGGATCTACACTTCTGTCACTATATGCAGTGTAAGCTGTTCTGTTTTCAAATTCTGTATAGTCATCCATCATATCCAAAGCAGGCTCAGATTTGCTTGGGACAACCATTTGCACCCTTCGTGGTCTTCTTACTACCTGTAAACATCCCAGTAACAGGTTAAAAATTTACTTAAACAGTAACCCATCAAGAATGAACACCAAGCACAACATTTTTATTGAACAATAAGTATAATGGAACTTACATTAAAAAACGTATACACAAGTTACCAAGAATATGGACTTTTATGACAAAACCAGGGACAGAAACCTTTCAAGAACATATTGAACGATTTAACTCCTTCGCTTCTGCAATAAGTTTAATGTTCCCCACCATGACACCCTGATCTTATGTTAATAAGCATCTCTTCTTTGAGAACCAGCAGCCGACACTTTGGACAACCTTTTCTTTAACAAGAATGTTAAAATGATTTGTGGGAGGAAGATTTCAGGATTGATGGGATGTTCGACAGCTAGCAAGGGTTTGGGATATTTAAAGACATTGTCATGAGAGTACTGGAGGATAGTGGGCATCTTATCGTTTACTATATTACCTGTAACTTTGTAAAATGTCATAACGGATATGGACGATTTTCAGACTTGCGCAATTGCAGCTTGTATCTGGGCAGAACAATCTAATGCAGCAAGGCTTGATCCAACACTGTTCTCTTTACTGCAGTCAAACAGTAATAAAGTCTTGTTCCTGTACATAGCATCTTACTAGATGTGAAGGAGCAGCCATAGACTGCTAAGCTCATCTCTGACTATACCATGTGTTAGCAATGAGCATTGCAGCAAACCATATTGGCATTTTGCGCTGCTGGTTCCTCTCCCCAAGGCCCAATGCACATATTTGCCAGCACACCAAGGATCTTCAATGTTGTTCCAAACTTTTATTGAGGAAAGAGCACATCACAAAAGTGCAACGTTTCAGAGCCACGCAGAACCCCTTCGTCAGGCATGTTTCCATGCCTGAAGAAGAAAAAAAGAAATTAAGAATTGAAGTGAGAGGTTAATATGTTTTAGCCAACAGATGTTAAAAAAAAAAAAAAAAAAAAAAAAAAAAAAAAAAAAAATCAAGAGGTCAGAAGATTATAATCAGCATTTGGAGATTTATTCAGCTGTTTATTTTTAGATAATGTAAAGGAATGTACAGATTACATCAATGTGTAACAGATAATATAAAAATATCAAACGAAACACACTAGAAGTTTAGCAGGATTCCTACCAGAGCTACACAATGACAGCACTCTACATGCTTTACCCTAGGCTGAAGAATGAGCAATCCTGGTTGTAAAAGACCACTCATGCACAAGGCAATGGCGAATAAAGCTACTTGTATATTTTCTATTTTCAGAAGCAAACAAACCGTATATAAATACAGCTGTTAAAAGTCTAGTAGTGCGATGGAGGAAAATATGCCTTGGGTTGCTACCTCTATGTTTTTTACCATTGTGAGGATTGAGAACCCTGTATTTATAATGAGCCAGTTGAATTCTTGTGCTGGTCAATCCAGGAACATACCTGTTAAAGCTTATTAATCTAAACAAGATTTACTTGTTTCTACAAGCATGCACTCCCACACATGGACAATGCTTTGTCATAGAAGTAAAGTATATGAAGGAAGTACATACTTGTAAAGGAGTGAGGGAACAGTTGACTTTCATGTTGCCTGTGCTGCTGAACTGTACCCCATTCCTAAGAACTGTTACCCCCAAACTCCGGTGGACTCGGAAGGGAGCAGAGTTCAGGCAGAGGTAAAAGTAATTATTCCCTCTCTTCTTTACTGGTATATGCTTCTATAAAACTTCACTTATATGACAGGAGAAAACAACCAGCCCCATTTGTTTCTCTTACGGTGGGTATTGGCACACCGAATAGCTAGAGTGCAAAGTCTCCGTAAATACACATTTTTGAAGGTGCTGTTTAGACATTCCTTGCACAATATCCTATGGTATTAACCTTTTTTACATTTAAAAACAAAAATGAAATAATCAGAATATAATGGTCATATTTACCAGGACAGCTGTTTTCCCACATTTTCTTAGTTGCTGAACTGCAAATGAATGAGGCACATTCTCCAAAGGGGTTCCATTTACCATAAGAACACGGTCGTTCTCTCTGAAAGTGTCATAAAAAATAATTTGCTCTTAGCAGAACATTCTTTTAAAAAATATTTTTTATTCGATGGCCATTTTATTCTAGTGCTGGAAATAAATGTATTAGTTAATAACACAAGTATTTGAGTACTACTACTTTGTAAGATTGCTAAGGCTGCACGAAAACTCTCAGCTCCAAGCTGACTCACAGGATGCTTCCACCTTTTATAATTGCATTAGGTGGGACTTTGTGACATGGTAAATTGTATTTATTGTGTGTCATAATGCTAATTTAGCTGTAATATTTCATGTTTTGTAATTTGTCTCTGCTATGCAAACATAACCATGGCTTATGTGTAAGCATAAAAAGAAAAAAAAAATGTGTGTGTGTATATATTTATTTTAGAATTCTGTACATTATCACTTTGAGAAAATTATTGGATCCTAGAGTTCTATAAGGCAACAAGTAACCTTTTGGCAAATAAGTTAATATACCCAAAGTTACAGGTGTGCATTTTAGATAAAAATGGTATGCTATTTTGAAGGTAGTGTCTAAAGCCACAAAAAAAAAAAAAAAAAAAAAAAAAAGTTTTTGTACAGGTATTTCCTCCCAGAACAATGCTCATCTTGCCCAGCCGCTGGGAAGCCAAGGAACTTACAATGCCACCTTTAAAATGTTTAACAATTGCAATCTACAAACAGATACCTATAAATAATTGCAGCCTTTTTTTCTCTGCATACCTTATTTTTCTTTTGCTACCCACTATTCTCATGGTGGCAATTTTTACTAAGGGCAGAATAATCCATCTCACATTACTTCCTAGGACTTAGGCTATACTCTGGGTCTGCCTCCTGGTACATGTGACAGGAACTTCCCAGGATACAGCTGTAAGGCCAGGGTGACATCATCAATGCCTTAAAGAAACCAGGAAGTTGAAAAACAGTAATTTGAATTAAAAGCAAAAATGTTTGTTTAATGAATGTAAGAGGATTTCATACCAATCTGCAGAGCAGTATGCTGTTGAGAGTCTTTGTGCAAGGGGAAAAAGGTCCACTTTAATACCACCTTTACTTCTGTATGACTACAGAATGTTCTTTACTGGACAAAGCCACAAGTTCATACAAACACCTTGCAGCAGAGGTAATGGTAATAACGGAAAAAACAACCTTGTGGGCAAGTATGCAATAGGGTAATCCCCAAAGGGTCAAAAGGCAGTTTTTGAAGTGCAAAGAGAACCAAACTTAAATCCCACAGAGACACAGGTGGACACCACATAAATACCCTATCCAATAGACCCTAAAATCTAAGTCCACCTTTTAGAAAAAAATTCACCCATATTTAAAAAAAAAAAAAAAAAACCCACAGAGCTAGACTTACCGTTAACTCTAATTCAGAGAGTCTTTCAAGACAGCCCATGAGATATAGGCATTGCCTCCAGGAATAGGAAATGCATCACAAAATTCACTTTAAAAAAGGAAGTCCTTATGCTAAACTGGTCAGCTTAAAACAAGCCAAAAGACTAAACTTGTACAAAAAAAAAAAGTACAAAAAAAAAAAAAAAAATAAGAACAAAAAAAACAAGGGCAGGAATAAAGCTGTACAGAAAGACTCATGGAAATAAGAGTTAGGCAAGTCTAACTAAGGTAAGTAACTCAGGTTTTCCCACGTAGTCTTCCAGGACAGCCCATGAGATGATTAGCAAGAATTTAACAGATTAGGAAGGGGTATTAAAAAAAAAAAAAAAAAAAAAAAAGAAGGATCAAAAAGACCTCTCATACCCCTGAGATGCCCATAAATATCACAGATACGATGGACCAGGTTAACCCTATCCCTGGATAGTAAGGGTGGTATCTCAAGTCATTGCTGCAGAGACAACCGATGTATCACCGTTTTCAGCCAGCGATTCTGAAGCCAGTAAAAATAATCCAAGCAGCTAAAGAGCTGCTGGATCAATTTTACAGGTGTGGAAGGGGGCCCGTCCCCCCACCGCTGTTACCAAGCTCTTTTGAGCGATTAGGAGCCCAATAAGGATGCAACTGTCAGCATCTGACTCAGAGCACACAGTGAGAGGAACAGATGTTGTTCCTCCAACTGTGCGCGGTCAGAAACAGGAAGCGACGAGGATTTCATCACTTACGGTTTCGGCTTTGGGTTTAGCAGCCAGTAAGGTAGCTGATCAAACCGATTTGTGTCTGATTGGCTGCATTGAAGGCCAGAGAGAGATCAGGAGCCTATTAGATCTCAGATCTCTCCATAAAGTGGACCTGTCACGGCCCATACTGACAAAAAGGATGTGTAGAAATGTTTTATAAAACAAAAAAATTTAAAGCGCCCCTGCACACAAATGCGAACACACGTGCAGGTCTTGTATGCATATGTAAACTTGATCAGCATGATAGCAATCATTCTAGCGCCAGACCTCCTGTGTCACCCTAAACTGGTAACCTGTAAAGACTTTTAAAGTGCCACCTTTGGGAATTTTTTTCTTTGGTACTGTAGTTTGGCCGTTCCACGAGCGGACACAATTTTAAAGTGTGACATGGTACCTACTCACTCAGCGTAACCTCTTTTACATTTTACCAAAAATCGGGTATTATATTGTGTTTTTGTGAATCAAAATTTATTAAAAAGTGCATTTTTTTTGTAAAAAAAAAACAAAACAAAAAACGGAATTTGAAAAAATTTGATTTTTTTTTCTACATGTTTACCTGTAAAATCTATTTCTTTGAGTACATCACAGGACACAGAGCTGGCTATTCATGACTATGTGGGTTATAGGCCCCCTATGGTGGGACACTGGCTGACTAATCACAGAGGAGGTCTTCCCCTATATAACCCTCTCCTATATAGGAAGTACTTCAGTTTTTGTAGCAAGCAATAAAAATTCCAGAAAGAGGGGCGGGACCTCTGTGTCTTGTGATGTACCCCAAGAAATTGATTTTACAAGTATGAAAAAAAAGCTAATTTACATCACGGGACACAGAGCAGCTATTCATGACTATGTTCGCAAAGCAATAAAAAATTTGAGGGGAGGATGACACCATGATAGTCACTGTCCATAATCCCTCAGGACCTACCCAACCGTCCATAAAACACTGCGGCCAAAAAGGCAGAATCCTCTGCGGCTCCTACATCCACCTGGTAGAACCTTCTGAATGTGTGAACCAAAGACTATGTTGCTGCCTTGCAAACCTGAGCCACTGATGCCTGATTGCAGATTGCCCAAGATGCCCTGACACTCCTGGAAGAACGTGCCTTCACCCGAAAGGGTGGGATTTTACCTTTCAAATCATAGGCTTGAATGATCAGCCAGCTCCAACACCCTTCTCACAGAAGTGATTGCTACTAGAAACACCTTACGAGTCAACAGGACCAGTGGAATCTCTCCAATAGGTTCAAATGGTGGCTTTTGCAAAACCTCCAAAAACCAAGTTCAGGGCCCAAGGCAAAGGCAACCTGACAGGAGGAGCCATATGCATCACTCCTTGTAAAAACGTACTGACCAAAGAGTGAGACACAACGGGCCTCTGGAAAAAAAAAAAAATAGCTAATGCTAAAACCTGGCCCTTAATGGTACCAACAGCCAAATTCTTCTGCAACCCTGTTTGAAGAAACAGAATCCTGCTAATCACATACTTTCATGAGTGCCATTTGTGAACCTCACACCATGCAATGTAAGCCTTCTAGGTTCTGCAATAAATGTTCCAAAAACTTCCTTTCTAGCACCAAACATGATGGGAATGACAGAATCCGACACTCCCCTATCCTTCAACATCTGGGTTTCAATAGCCACGCCATCAAATTTAGCGACCATAAAGCTGGGTGCAATATAAGACATTGAGACAACAACAGGTCTGGCCAACATGGCAGGGCCCACAGCCTGTCTACTGCCATCTTCACTATGTCCACATACCAGGCCCTCCTGGACCAGGTCGGCGCAATCAGTATCACTGGAATATACTTCTCCCAAACCCTGTGTAATAGACGTGGCAGGCAGCAGCTGGATTGGAGGAAAGGCATAAAATCAGTGAGAACTGGTTCTAAGGAATCACTAAGGAGTCTACCTCTGCCGCGCAAGGGTCCCTTACCCTGGACACAAAAAGACTGACCTTGTTGAACCTGATGCCAATAGATCTACATCCAGGCAACCCCATCGCTAGCAGACTTCTTTGAAAACATAGAGATGCAAAGCCCATTATCCTGGAATTAACTGCCGGCGACTGAGATAATCCGCCTGCCAATTCTTCCCGAATCCTTACATGCCAACCATGAAGCCTGGATGTCCAATACCTCAGAGCCAGCCTCACTGCTTGAAGTTCCAGGACATTGAAGGGAAGAACCCTTTCCCGTGGAATATATGTTCCCTGAACTGTTGTCTCCTCCAGAATGCCCCCCCCCCCCCCCCAACCTGGAAGGCTGACATCAGTGGTCACCAACTTCCACACCACTGGCCGAAAGAATTTTCCCTTCCCCAAATTGTGAGTTATCAACCACCTATTCGAGCTATGCTGCACCTCTGGAGACCGAGATAAGCAGTAATCCAGGGCCCGAATCTGTGTTCCAAACAGACAGAACGTACTTTTGCAGTGGCCTGGAGTGGAATTGAGCACAGGGAATAGCCTCGAATGAGGATACCATCTTCCCCAGCAACCTCATACAGAGGCAAATTGAAGGATACCTCTTGGCCTTCAAACTGCAAACCTCGTACCTCAGAGCACAACGTTTCCCTGGAGGCAGAAATACCTTTGCCTGAATGGTGTCTAGGACCATCCCCATATACTCCAGACTCTGTATTGGTTCCAGGTCTTACTTCTTGAGGTTGAGCACCCAGCCCAGCTGTTCCAGGATCTGCATCGTAAGGACCACATCCAGCTTCAGACCTGGCACTGACAGATTTCTAAGCAAGAGATCATCTAGATAACCTGTGACCCACACTCACTGGGTTCTGAGTAGCCCAAACACCGGAGCAAGAATTTTTGTTAAAACTCTGGTAGCCATGGTTAGCCAAAATGGTGGTGCTA